GCGTCCGAGAACAGCACCTTTGTCCTCGGTGGCTCCGCGTTTGGTCGTCGCAACGTCCTGCACCATATAACTGAAAGGTGGCCCGCGCCAGCCACAACACACAACCATGGGCGCGTTGATATGAAGAAATATGGACGCCAACACCGAAGGCACAACGAGGCGTGGAAAATGAGTCCTGGACTGTCCCTGGACCCAAGGCATCCGCGCTCTGCCACGGGGCGAAATCATTTTGAGCCAAAACGGCTTCGGGAAAGGAGGAGGGGGAGGAGGAGGAGGAAAGAGGAGGAAGGAGGCGGAGGCACCCCCCCAGTTGCTGAAACTCCAGCGCGGAACTGCGGTTCAGCCACACACGCGCCACCGTTGAGCCCCCCACGGCGACGGGCCCTGAGCCCCGCCCCCCAAAGGCCCCCCCTTGCGATCGGCACCGCGCCCCCCTGTTTTTTATATTCGGCGGCGAACGGGGGGGAAGTGAGAGGGAAAAGGCCGTCACAGAAGGCGGGGGGGGCTTCGCTCTCCAGCCTTCAGAGAAGTGTCCGGCGTCTCCGAAGAAGGCGTAGAACATTTCTCAGAAGGCTTGGGGCTCTCCGAACCTTCTCAGGAGGCCCGCCCACTCTTGCTTCACCCCCGGGCGCGCCGCCGATTTACGCTGAGAAACCTTGATCGACACGAATGGTAGCCTCTGGATAAGACCAAACAGCTGCAAACCGAATTAGGCGCTGTGGCGCAGCACGCTGCACACACACACACACACCACCAGCCACGACCGGAGCCCATTCTTCGAACCGGACCGCTCTGCGAGGGCCATGGGCCCCGAAGCCGGGGCGGAAGCGCCCGCCGTGCTAGAACTGCAGCGCCAGGATCCAGAGGCTCGGCGCCGCGGCCCCGCCCTCCCTGAAGGGGCCCTGGGACTCACAAAGAACTAGACACAAATAGCACGATTCCTCCTCTTCCCCCATCTCTCCTGGGCTTCTATCTTCCACCCCACCTCCCACATGTTTGTCTGATCTTCTGGGGAATGGGCGATGGATTGTGTCTGTGTGTTTTCTCCCCTCCCGACCCCCCCCCCCCCCCCACTGGCAGGGCTCCTCCGCCAAGCCTCCCCGGCCACGACGGGCGGGCCCACCCCGAGGCCGCGCGGGCCCCGCCCTCGCCGAGGCCCGGCCCCCGTCCGGCAGGGGATCCCCCTCGGGAGCTCGCGAGCGAGCGGAGGGCGTGCACGCGCACGCATCCACGGTGGCTTCGAGAATACGCTTGCGCCGACGTTCGTGTCACGAGGCCTGGCCCCCGTCCGGCAGGGATCCCCCTCGGGAGCTCGCGAGCGAGCGGAGGGCGTGCACGCGCACGCATCCACGGTGGCTTCGAGAGTACGCTTGCGCCGACGTTCGTAGCACGAGGCCTGTCTCTCGCGGACCAGGGGGCCGTTGTGGTGAGGAGAAGCGCTGTGGATGCCATGACGCTGGACACCCTAACAGTCCTATCATTGAGCTCCATATGTATCTGCAACATGCTTGGGGCATGTTCTTAACATGTTTGACCTGTTGTTACATGCCTTAACCATGTAAAGCACAATGCTTAGCCATCTGGAAATGATTTGGCTCCACGCTTCCTCTCCTCTGTTCTCTCGAGGGTCGTCGGAGCCCACCGCAAGGCCTTCTGGAACAAATGATTTGATCGCTCGATGCTGGGTCAACCGGGTGATAATGGAATGGCTATGTTGCTCGCCTTGTTTTCCGTTTTGATGATGGCAGAATGCTTTTTTTGTTGCAGGGCTATGCGCTTCAAGTGTAGATTCATGGCAGTCTGTTGGTGTCTCAAGTCCCGCTCCGAAAAAGCCTTCCACGCCAGTGACGGTCGCGACCTGTGCTGGTTGCTCTAGAGCTGCCCTCCGTGGTGGCTTCAAGCAGATAGCTACCTCCGTTGTTTTAGGGCTTGCCCCTTGTCGGCTGATGCTGCAGTGGCCGATGCAGTGACCGTTCGCCGCCGCGTGCTGAAATTGTTGTCCTTATCGCAAGTACATCGGCAGTGCCTGGTCGGCTGCTGTCGAAGCGGGGGCAGGCAGCGGAGACCGCGGGCCATCGGCGTCGTCGGCCTCACCGTTGTCGTCGTCGTCGTCCTCAACCTCTCTCTCTCTCTCTCTCTTGTTTCTCTTTTTGTGGTGTGGTATGCCGCCACCCCAGTCACTCCTACGGCACCAGGTGCGTTTCGGCTGCGCTGGCACTTCTGCAGCGGAAAAGCTGCGGCGACACACTTCTGCAGCGGACCAGATGCACATGTTGCAGCCGAGCGACGCCTCTGCATGTTGTTTGCCGAACGCCCGTTGTGATTGCGGCGCGGGCGGAACGTATCAAGATCGATCTTTACTCATGGAATTGCCAGACTCGCCTTACAACATACGTCGGTGAATTTGTCGTCCGTGCTGTCGACCGGAAAAATGGCATGAACACCCGCCTCCAGCCTACACGAGGACCTGTAACAAGCCACGCAAAGCTATTCTCCAAAAAATGTACTGATAATGTCCTTCGCGTTTAGCTCGCAAGGTTGCTACATAGCTGGCGCTCTGGCATCGGCAATGTCCATGCGTGTACCTGGCAGCATTGGAACAGCAGCCACTGCCATCGTCTTCCAGTGGTCACCGCTGGCGAACAGACCGAGGCCAATTGTATATGCGATTTGAAGGACCACGCGCGGCGTCCCAGCAGACACATCTCAAGGGATCATTGGAAACAATCCGCCACCGTGCCCCTTGGCCTTGGCACGTGGAGGCGTGGACGGATGCCAAGGTCTGCCTGGGTTTTTTGGATTCTAAAAGATAAGGCACCACCCCTCCCCCTACTCGCGGAATGTTGCGTGCGTCTGCCACTTCCCTCGTGCCCGCTCGGGGAGGGTGCACTTCCCGCGTGGCAGCTAATCCCTAACCCCCTATTCCACACGTGCCCGCTCGAGGATAGTGCACGTCCAGCATGGCAGCGAATGCCTAGTTCCCTCTTCCACACGTGCCCGCTCGAGGATGGTGCACTTCCCGCATGGCAGAGAACCCTCATTCCACGCGTGCCCGCCCGAGGATAGTGCACTTCCCGCATGGCTGCTAACTCCTAGGTCCCTCACCCCACAAGTACCCGCTCGAGGAAGTCGTGCACTTCCCGCATGACCAGGCGCTGCTCCCGAGCGCTCCACGGCCTCCCAAGCAACTACCATTTGTAAAAAACGATAAGTATGCGCCCCGAGCTTCCAAGACGGCTCGCGCAGGCAACCAATGACGCCAAGACGGCCCCAACACGCCACAAGAAAGCCCCAAGCCGGCGTAAAGGGACACCAAGTCGGCGCAAGAGGGCCCCAGGGATCCCCCAAGATTGCCCCACAGAAGGCCAAGACAGCCCCAAGACGGCCGGAACGAACATCCTCATCCTCATCCTCATCCTCAGCATCATCATCATCATCAGCAGCATCATCATCATCACCATCATCAGCATCATCATTATGATCAACAGCAGCATCATAATCATCATCAGCATTATCATCAGCATCAGCATCAGCAGCATCAGCATCATCGCCATCGCCATCGCTCATCATCAACATCAGCATCAACAGCATCAAAACAATCATCCTCATTATCATCAACAACACCATCAATATCACCATCACCACTACCATCAATCACCATCACCATCACCGCCACCACCATCCTCAGCATCGTCATCATTGACACCATCTCCATCATCATCATCATCACCAACATCATCATCAACATCATGTGCGTCATCGTCATCACCTGTATCATCACCACCATCATCATAAGCAGCATCAGCACCGCCACCATCAGCATCACACTCATCGTATCCAACTTCTTCGTCATCGTCATCGTCGTCGTCATCATCACCTCCATCAGTACCACCGTCATCGTCGTCACCCTCAGCATCATCTTCGCCATCGTCAGCGTTATCATCATCCTCATCACCATCATCATCATCGACATCAGCAATACTATCATCAGCATCGTTTTCATCGTCATCCTCATCATCATCATCATCAGTATCATCAACATCATCATCCTCAGCAGCAGCATCATCCTCTCCATCATCATCATCACCACCACCATGAGCACCACCATCACCACCACCACCACCATCATGGTCATACTCCTTCTCATCATAATCATCTCCATCATCATCATCATCATCGCCATAATCATCATCGTTGCCATCATCACCACCATCATCATCATCACTAGCATCACCTGCAACATCCTCATAATCCTCTCACGGCTCTCCCAAGCCTGGAGACACGACGTGTCACACGTGATGCCCTCCCGCGCCCCCCCGAACAGTCGCCACCCAGAAAGCTGCGCTGGCCCAGTGGCGGGACTCATCGCTGGCAGCAGGATTACCGCCTCGGTAACAGCAATCGTCGCAGTCATTATGATTGGCATACACTTCAGTGCGATATTGAGATGCTCAGTTCATCAGGTCAGGAAGACAGTGGCACAGTTGTCTTCCATATCAAGCGCAGCATCCACACATCCCCAATGAAGCTTGCACAACGCAATCTACAGGCACCGGCAGACCGCCTAGCCCATGAAAGATGGACCAATTACAGCCAGTGGCACACGTACTACTGGCACTCCGCTGAAGGAAGTGTGGAGATGTTGGTGTCCATTCTTATCCTGCTCCTCATCGGTCACCTCCTCCTCCTCCACCTCCTTCTGCTTCACCTGCCTCTCCTTTCATCCCTCAGTCTCGGTTCGAACCAGGCAACCCAGTGCCAAAATTAGGTAAGGCGGAGGAACGGTCTTGTTAGTCGTTCTCTGGGGCGCGTTCGTGTCATGAGGAGTTCATTCCACCATTCGCATAGATGACATTGGAACGATTCGAATCCCCGAGAAGGACATCTTGAACCGATGCGCACCGTAAACCCCCACCCCCAATCTCATCATTGGCAGCTGCCGGTCTTCTAGGCATGCATGTATGAAAACGTGCGCAGTTTCTCTGATTGGAAATGGTCGCCTCGTGCGTGCCGAGGCCGGCAGTGTCCTGCGGGCGCTCCGTCATGTTCCACTCGGTACCACTAGTGCCGACGAAACATCCGATGTGAGCTGGGGTCCGCTGCAGCGCTGTCATGTCGTAGCCCCCCATGTTGAGGGCCTCGTACACGACTTCTAGGATCTTGCGCTGGTTAGGGTCCATCCCCGAGGCCTCCCGGACGGAAATCCCAAAGAAAGAGGAGTCGAAGAGCTCAATGCCGTCCACGTAGCCCTGGTGCTTGGTGTACGATGTGCCGGTCACCTGGGCGGTGTGAACGTCTGTCGCGGAACAATACACCTCGTGGTCCCATCGTGTCAGTGGGATCTCAACAAACGTGTCTGCCCCAGCTTTCGCAAACATCAGCCAATAGCACAGGTAGTCCTTGGAGTCCCCACCGAGGCAAGTGGAGATGCCGTTCACTGCCACGGACACCCCCTGGGGGCCTCTCGGACCGCGCGTGCTGGCCGCAAGCACCTCGAGGTCACCGCCAATGTCGCCTAGCTCAAACTCCGGCGGACGCGACAACAGCCACGTCTGCAGCGCGAGAGAGGGCCCAGCAGGGCACGCGTAGCTGTACCGGAACATCTCGGTGAGGAACATCACCATGGTCCCCGGCAAGGCCTGTCGGGGATCTATAGTGACCCGGGTCAATCCAGACAAGGCTCAGTCCGGCTTTGCAGTATCCTGCAAGCTCCTGCGCGCAAGCCCAGGTCAATGCACCCCTGGCTCTGCAGAATCCTGCCAGAACTGGCGCTCTGGCTGACCCCCCCTTTGCAGTGACCCCCATCTCAAGGCTCCCAGGCCTGTATCTCCAGCTCCCCTGCGCCGCCAGCGTCCCTGGGGATCAGCGTCAGCGAGCCCGCCGCCGGGCCCAGGAAGTGCAGCAGGCAGACGCGCCTGCGCTTCAGGAGGGTCCTGAAGTACACGCGCTCCTCGCCGTTCAGCTCCGCACGGCTGGGGTACCGCGCCTCCTCCTCGGAAGGGGGGGGGGCGGGCGCGAACTGGTACCGGATCCACCAGCCCCGCCAGGTCAGTGTGAGGGGGGCCGCGCGGTCTTACGCTGTCCCTCGGCGCATGGCTGAAGTAGTGGCTCTTGCTGAACGTCTGCGACCAGACAGTACTTGTTTGCGGATGCTAGGGAGATGCTCTGGGCGATCCCGCCTTGACGCTGGCCACATGCTCTCCGAGAGCAACATCTATTGCCAGAAACTTCTTACCATTCTCTCTGGTCGCCTGCCCTCGCTGAAGACCTCGTGGCATTCCACTAAGGAATCTCGTTCTTGCTGGAGAGATCTCAAAGCTTCCTCAGGAGCCGTGGTCTGGCTTGATCCCCCATCTCAATTTGCTCAAAGATCGCGCCATCGCCATTGACTAATCGCTCTCACGCTGAAGATGCCCTCAACAATCGTTCAAGAAATGCGCTCTCGCCTCGACGCTGACTGCCTGGGGGCTCGCATCCGTGAAACTGGAGCACTTGTCAAGCCCATGAACCCTACACTTCCTACCGCGGACCCCTCCCTCCTCCCACCTCCCGCACGACTCCTCACTCCAACACTCTTCTCTTCCTGCCCTCCCTCCCGACCGCACCCCTCCTCTCCTTTCCAATTTTGAGGGTGCGTTCTGCTCTCTTTTCATAGCCTGTGAGCAAATGTCAAGGGCGTCGCAAGCGGGAGCCGTTGCTGACGAAGCCAAGGGGACCAACAACGAAAACAACAAAAACCAACAGGGTGCCGACAGGGAGGCGGGCCAACAGTTGGCCGCAGGTCGTCCTCGACCCAAGAAAGGTGCGAGCGCGGTGGGACACACTCGGCGGGTTGCAAAATATTGCCATCTCGCTGGGGCTTATTCCTCAATTACTCCCTCCGGCTTCCACCGTCTCCCGCTGGCGGAGGCGGCCTCGATTCGCTCCCGCCGCCTTCCGCCGCCGTCCGCCGAGGAAGCGATGCCAGCTCCTTCGATCCTCGAAGGCGAGGCCCTTTCTGGAGCACCTCACTGGACTCGGAAGCGGCCAAGAGGGGGGTGTCCAAGAGGGGGGTGTGCAAATCATGACCGGCGGCATGTGCGCGGCCCAGCGGGGGGGCCAGGGACGTAATGAAATAAGAAGAGGCGCCATGAAATCTGGGGAAATATCATGGCCCCCGCCATGATATCCACCCCCCCCTAGTCATCACCCCCCTCTTTTCCGCCCCCGATGGACTCGAGCCTCCCGCTCTCGCTTCACTCCACCGGGGCTGCGCTCTCGCCAGACCCTCCCTCGCGGCTTCGTCAGCACTTGCGCCCTGGCCTCGGCGCCAGCTGCCCGGGAGCTCCCGCCGGTGACACCGGAGTGTTGTTTGACACTCCTGCGACTCGTGCATCCTACCGCGGACCCCCTCCCTGCCCCCTCCCCCCTTCTTCTTCTTCATCCCTGCGCCCCCGTTCCCCCCTTCCTCACTCCTCACCCCACTCCCTCCCGAATCCCTCATCCGTCCCTGTTTCTCATTTTATGGTCCGTGCTCTGCGTTCCCATGGCAGGTCTCGCCCTGGCGGGAGAATGTACAACTAAAGACAATGAACGGGGGTACGCGCATAGAACTAAGAGGGTGGCAGCAAGGGAGAAGAACCACCGATCATGAGAGCCGGAGAAAATCATATGGCCGCGCCCCTTTGCAGCGTGGCCCCTCTCGGGAGCCCTCGGGGGGAACCCTCGGGAGCCCAATGGGGCTGATGCGACCCCGTGTTGGCCCCGTGCCTCAATGGGCAATGGGTCTATGTGACCCTGTGTTGGCCACGACCGCAGGTCCAGTACAGAGCCCTTGTGACGCGAACGAAATGGACGGCGGCATGTCACATGTTCGTGAACTATGTGGCGTTGGTTGCCGCCGTCGCCCCGCGACCCGCCCGGGACTCGCAACATCGCCGGCTCGGAAGACGTCCGCGAACCGCCCCGTGACCCCGCGACCCCGCACTCCCACCCGCACTGCGGGGTGCCACCGTGCAAAACTGAAGGGAAAACGTCTGGGGGGAAACCGGCACAGAGGAGGGCTGTCGGGCCCCCGTCGGCGATCCCTGGGCGACGGGGGGTCGATACATCCCACCCTGAGCCAAATCCCCCCCCCCCCCCGCCTCTAACGTTGCCCCTGATAAAAAAAAAAAAAAAACAAAAAAAAAAAAAACGCTTCGGCAAACACGCATGTGCCCTGGGCCCCTCGAGGTGCGGCGGACTGTCGCCCACGCATCCTCCGCGTCCACGAACGTCTGCCTCACCAGCAGCTCGCTGCGGGAGGCCACGCGGATGCCCAGATGCTCGTCGAGCAGCGGGGCCAACAGCTCAAGCAGCTCGTCGAAGCGGGCCTCCGCGGCAGCCAGGGCGGAGGCGACGGCCTCTGGGACGCCGGCCGGCGAGCGGAGATCCAGGAGGGCCGTCTTCTCTCTGCTGTCCCTTCCGAGGTAGTGCGGCTCGATCTCGCTCGGAACGCGGTCGAAGCTGATCTGCCCGGTGACGGCGTGGATCTTCGAGACGTCGGCCTGCGTCGGTCTCTGGATTGGTGCTGGCGCGTTTTGGGGACGCATGGCTCCGTCGGCAGTGTGCATCCGAATTCTCGGAGACTCCCCGAGCTCGGATGCTCTCTGAGGGGGTGCAGGTTGAGTTTGTGCCGGATGCGAAACTTCCTGGAGGAGACAAGAGAAATCCAGAAGTCTGCCTCCGGGCAACTGAAGTGGGCTTTCGGGCCTGCAGAAACCGTTTACTAGAGTTCTGCTGCTCCGGCCACAACTCGATCGAGCCAGAATGGCTCCCGAACGACCTGCAGAGCTGCCAAAAAGATGGCTCCAAAGTGACCCCAAAAGGCGGCCGACGAGGCTTCCATCGACGGGACATCGATGCGTTTCCTGTCTGGGGCACGTCGGCCTCAGCTCGGCTTAGGAAACCTTCCGAGGGCCTCAAGAAGCTCCCAAGACGGGCGTTTTTTTTATTCGGCGTTTAAACATTGGGCGGGGGGGGAGGGGGGGGTCTGGCTCTGGACCTCTGCTTAGTGCGACTGTCTGCAGCAGTGCGTCCTACGGGGGAGGCTCCACCTGCTTGAAACAGGTACCAAAAACAGCCAAGATCTACTCCAGGAGGGGGGGAGGGGGGGGTGCGAAGGCCCGCGCCGATCGGCAAAACAGTTAATACAAAATGCCAATGGAGAAAAAACCCAATCAGGGCTATAGGGCTAGGGGCCCTATAGGGCTATTGAGCTATAGGGCTATAGAGCTATAGGGCTATAGAGTTGTAGGGCTATAGGGCTATTGGGCTATAAAGCACCCCCGGGCACCCCCAGGCACCCCTGGGCACGCACCCGGGCACCCCCGGGCACCCCCCGGGCACCCCCCGGGCACCCGGGCGTGCAGCGAAAATCGCCTGCCAACCTCACCCCCGGCCCCCCCGGGCACCGGGGCACCCGGGCGTGCAGCGAAAGTCAGCGGCAAACCTAACCTAACCATATGAATCCGCTAGGACCACTGCAGAGACAAGCTCTGACTGGGGAACTCTCACAAGACAGCCCGACGCAGCCCCAGGCCAAAGACGGGCCCGACGCCCCCCGCGGCCCCTCCACGCGCCCCCGCGGGACCCCCAAGAGGCCTCCAGGAGGCCCACAGAATGGCCTCAAGAAACCTTCGCGACGTTTGCCAAAAAGGGGCAAGAGGGAGGGGGTGGAGCAGGACGAGGAGGAGGCAGCAGGAAGGAGAGCCCCAACGGGAGAGCTCACAGGAACCTTTTTTTGTTCAGCGGCGGGTAGGTAGGCTCCACTCCCCGTTGTGCGAATCAAGACGTCGCCAGGGAAACCAGGAGCATCATACGAGCCGATCTGTGATCGGCCAACTCCTGCAGTGGACCTTGGCCTGAAAGGAAAAGGGAACGTGCCGCATGCGAATCTTTTCAGAACAAGATTGCAAACAAGCAGCCCGACGAGAGGATGCGAGGGAGAGGGGGAGGGGGAGGGGGAGGAGTAGGAGGAGGAGGAGGAGGAGGGGGAGGGGGAGGAGGAGGAGGAGGAGGAGGAGGAGGAGGAGGAGGAGGAGGAGGAGGAGGAGGAGGAGGAGGAGAAGGACAAGAGGGGGGGAGAGATTGGCCATGACCATGCACTCGGAAATGCCCCACGAGCGCAGCTCCAGTCGGAGGAAACAAAACACATTAGCACGATACCCACGGCAGCGGCGGCAGCGGCAGCGGCAGGGAGAGCTGAGTAGGTGACGAGACAAACAGTTAGCACAGGCCGTCCACGTATCAATCGGCGGGGCCGTCCGAGCAACGAGAGAACAGGACGCTTTGTTTGCCAGGATGGAGTTCCGATGGGACGAATGGGAGGAAAGGATGACACTGAGTTCACAGCACCATCCGCCTGACAGCTTGTCCACAGCTAGAGCTCGAACACTCGGGGTGGGGAGCGAGGACGAGACAGGCAGAGAAAGCGGAAAGCAGGCCACCCCCAGGAGGGCTAGCCGACGAACCACCTCCGGGAGGCGAGAGAGAGAGAAGATAGAGGCGAGGGCAAGGGGCAGCTCCAATCGGCTGCTGGGTGCAGCATGTCCCGCAGACCATCGGCCACCATGACGGCCCCAAGAGGCCCAACATAACCATTGAATTGACCTTCGTGATGCCATCCAGGGGAAAAAAGGGAACACGGGAGGGTAGGAAAAGAAGGTACGAAGGGCACGAGAACAAGGCTGCGAACACGGAGGGGGCGTTCCAGACCCGCGCCAGTTCAGGTGCCGCTCTGCACTACCTCACAGTGGCCCCGTCATGCAAGATTGCGACCATTCCCGTCGGAGTTTGCTGGGCAACCTGATCCAACCTCCAGGCCCTCCACCCACCTTCTGTCTCCCCTCGCCTCCGCTTGCTGCTCCTTCTCCCCCTTTCCCCTGGGGGCCGGCCGGATGGCGTGAGCCACCAGGACAAGCTCGGCGGCGAACCCAAGGTGAAGCGAGAGGGGGCAGAGGCTTGGTGGTCTCCAGACCAGGTGGTGAGACACCCGGTGGTGACCCCGACTCCCCCCAAAAATAATTCTGGGTCACCACCGGGTTTGGGGACACGCGGTCGCCACGAGGTTTTGCGTCTCCTGGGCCAGCCAGCGCTCAAAAACCGTTACCCAAATCGCCCAAAACTCACCACCAGGTGTTCTCACCACCACGTTTGGGGACCACCAATCCACAACAAACGGCGGGGCTTCCCAGGCACCCCCGGGAAGGCTCGGGAAGCTCCGCCTGTTGAGGAGGGGCCCGCCCCCCCCTTAAGGCCCCCTCCCCCGGGGGGCGCGCCGCCGGCAAGCACGCTCGCCCCTGGCATGTGCCAGCGAGGCCTCGTCGGCCAGCAGCCGGGTCACCACGTACCCTTTCGAGACGAGCTCGTCGATGGCCCCCTGGCCAAACACCCCCAGGTCGCAGCGCGGCCCCACGACGAAGTCCGCGCCGCGCAGGGCCTCGGGGCGGAGGCTCGAGAGGCCGGCCGTGCCGACCCTGGCTTGCACGCCCTCGAAGGTGAGGAGGAGGCACTCCTCGCCGCCGCCATCCTGGGGGTGCTGACGCTGTGTGCGGTGACTTCCTCTCTCCCTCTCTCTCCCTCTCTCTCCCTCTCTCTCTCTCTCTCCCTCTCTCTCTCTCTCTCTCTCTCTCTCCCTCTCTCTCCCTCCCTCTCTCTCTCCCTCTCCCTCTCTCTCTCTCACAGGAGCACCACCACCCGACCACCCGACCTCACGCCTCCCACGCGGGCGACGCCTCCGCCCACAGCAGGCGCTCCTCCTCGGGAGCGAGCGCCGGCAGCGGCGGGGCGGCGCCCGGGTGTGCGGAGACACGGGGATGGGCCCACGGGGCAGTCCTGCCGCGTGCCTTCGCCCGAGGCAGCTCCCTGAACGGACGCACCCCTGGGGCCCATCGCTGGGGCTGCACATCGCAATGCCAATGCTCGGCTTGGGTGGCCGCAGCCCGTGATCTGTCACGCCTCGCGTCCTCCTCGTGGCCGGGTGCATGATTGGACCTGGGTGCCTGCTGTGCGTGGTTTCTGGTACCCCGCCCTCCCTTGCCTCTCCCGCCTCTCCCGCCTCGAGGCCCCTTGTGGCTTGCTGGTGGCCCCCTGCTCGATTTTCAGGGCCGGAACCCGTGACCCGCGGCCTCGGGTAAGTCGTGGCGTCCTCATGGCCCTCCGGGGCGGCGTCAGCATTCGATCTTGGCGCCCGTGGACTGCAGCCTCTGAAGGCGTCGCGATTGACAGCTCAGGCGCTTGCTGCCCGACTGTGGGCCGTTGTGCCGCGATCAGGGTTCAGGCCTGACGCGTTCCAAGCTGGCTTCCAAACGTGGGCCCGATGGCCAAATCGCCCTCCCCTGTCGTTTTCGGAGGGCGAGTTGCGACAACGGCAGTCTAACATCGGTCCCCGCCCGGAACCCCCTCCTGGGGTCAAGACGCACCAGCCTTCCGAGCTGCGTCCGGCCGCTGTGACGACAGAGCCACATGTCCGGCGTCTCGACTCGCCCTCCTCTGTCATTCTCGTGCTCCGAGATGTCCAGCTCCAGGATCTGGCCGGAGCTGCCGCTCACGTCGCACGCCTCCCCCGTGGCCGCTCTCCGCGCCGCCCGCCCGCGCAGCTCGCCGACGGCGACCAGCGAGCCCTCGCGCAGGGGCGGCGCGGCCATGGCGGGCAGCCGCGCGGCCGCCGCCGCGCATGGCCGCCCGAGGCCCTCGTCCTAGACGCGCGGGCGGGGGCCCCGCCCGCCCGGGGCCTGGGCGCCTGCGCGGCGTCAGCGGGCCTCGAGCCGACGAGGTCGAGGCCGGCGAGGCAGGCCTGCTGCAGAAGGCAGCTCCTGGGGCGCCTTCGCGGGAAGAGCCTTGGCGGCGCGCAGAGCGGGACAGGGGGAGGGGGGAAGGCTCCTCAGAAGGCGGCTGCTTCTTATAGAAGGCGCGGGCCTCACATGCATAGAGAAGGCCCACGCCTGCTAAGAATCGTGGGTGCTTTTTAAGAAGCCCTCACCCTCCCCCTGCCCCCCTCTACGCGTGGTCGAGAGCGGGAGACTTGGGGGGCGACCGCGCCAGATCTGGCCACGCTGGGCCCAGGGTGCAGCCAGAGTGCGCCAGACTCAGCGGGGTGAAACCGGACTGGGCCGTTGCTGTACACGGACAGTCCGCCACTGGGCCATTGTGCCCAGTGGGCGTGTGAGGATGCTTGATGTTGTCAGGGAGGTTGCTTTAGCTTTCTACGCCCTCCCCCTCGGCCCAGACGTCCCGTTGGGTCGCCACCTGTGAAATTGCTTTCCAGCGCTCTTCGGCCTCCAAACAGGCCAGATGGCCTCAAAGACGGCTTCCAAGGCAATCAAGATGACACCAAGACGGCCCCAGATGGCCCAAGACGGCTCAAGAGGCTTCCAAGACAGCCTCAAGACAGCTCAATAGGCTCCAAAGACGGCCCAAGAGGGCTCCAACAGGCCCTCTAAGAGAGCTTGAGGAAGAAAACACCATTCGGGCTGTTCGGGCTTTGTGCGGGCTTCCGACCGCCCAAGATGGCCCAAGAGGCCTCCAAAATAGCTCTAAGACAGCCCATGAGGCCCCCAAGGGGGCTCGAGTCGGCCCAAGAGGATCCCTGGATCGCCGATGGCCCAGAGAGGCCCCCAAAGACGGCCTCCGAAGGCGTCAGACGGGCCAATCGCCTCATTAAGACGGCCCACGAGGCCCCAAGAGGCCCCCAAGAGTTCCCCCAGGAGGCTCCCCAAGAGGCCCCGAAGAGTTCCCACAGGAGACTCCCAGGAGGTCCCCAGGAGGCCCCGGTCCCAAAAAGCTTTCTCCTCCTCGTCATCATTGTCTCTCTTTCCTACTCCTCCTCCGCCTCCTCCTCCTCCTCTTCCTCCTCCTCCTCTTCCTCCTCCTCCTCCTCCTCCTCTCGACCGCGCGGATGAAAACGATGTCGGGATCGCGACCCACCCCAATTCAGACCACTCGCTGAATTGCCGCGGGGTGTGAACTCGAACTCCTTCTCACCGCGCGGAGGAAGACGAGGTCGAGATCTCGACCAGTCCATTTCATACCACGTGTCGGAGATACGCTGTTCCTACACTCAGCCTCCTTCCTGCAGCGCTGTTGCACTTGCACGGTGGCGATGTTTGTCGCAAGCAGCTGGACAAAAATAATAATGCCACGGACATACTGGCACGACGAATTGAATATCCCAGGGGTTGCAAGCCATGATGCTGGTGTTTCCGATCGGACCCATACCTCTTATCTTTCATATCATAGGATGGGGTAGTGCTTGTTCTTTACATCCTAGCATGGGGGCTTTGTTACTGTAATGGTACCTCCACCTCTCCGCCTCCCCATTTCCGCCAAACTCTTCATACTTAGAACGTCTCGCGCAGACTTTGGAGTCCCTCACTTACTCACCCACCTTCCTCGCGCACTCATGGTAAACGCCAAGCCCAGTCATAGCCAGGCTCACCCATAGTCAGCTTAGTCATACTCAGACTTCCCAGCGAGCAATCACTGCCTTCCGATCTCTCACGCTTAGACTCACCCACAATCAGGATCACCCGCACACAGACTCACTCACACTCAGACTCAAACGCGCTTAGTCTCTCACACTCAGACCACGCACATCAATACCCAATCATAGTCAAACACTTAGTTCTCGACGCGATGTGGCAGGCGCGGCACTTGGGCACCCCAAAGAGGAGAAACCACGGGGTAGGACACGTGCCGGTTTCGATGTCCCCGACCCCTATTGCTTTAAGAGTCCCGTCATCACCGCGATGTAGCAAGCGTGGCGTGTGGACACCCCAATGAAAGAGCCGCCAAAGGGTTGGACACTTCCCTTTCGGGACCACATTGTGTGGATGTTTCTGAGGAGGCGCTCGTTTGGAATCCTCAGCGCCTCCGTTTTGAAAGCGCCGTGACGACCTCGATCTGGCACTTGGGCATCGAAGAGGGAGACCGCCAGGGAGTAAGATGCGTGCCCAGTCGCGGCCAAATGGTGGGGATGCCTCGGACGAAGCGCTTGTTTGGAGTCTCCGGCCCATCTGTTTTGAAGGCCCAGTGATCACAACGATGTAGCAGACGTGGCTCGTAGGCACCCAAAGGAGCAGCCGCCAGGGGGTGTCACGGTGTTACACTTGCCTGTTCGCGGCCAGATTGCGTGGAGGTTTCGTCCCCAGCCCCTGGCTTTTAAAAAGACCATCATCACCCCAATACAGCAGGCGTACCACATCGACACCCCAACACGAAGGAACTGACAGCGAGAGGGACACCTGGTTCCCGCCGCCACACACCACCAGAACGCGCAGTCTCATGCCGTAGTGCCACTACGACGAGATCTTGCAAGCGGCTGCCTGCGCATGTGCAATATGCATCCGCGCGGGACAAGCCCGGCCCACGACTGGGTTGCACAACCTGCACATGGCCGCCACGGAAACGATACGCGGCGGGGCGTGGCCGGCTACGCCAAAGCGCCGTGCAGGAGGGACAAAGCACACAACCCACCAGGTGGGGAGCAGACTGCAGGCGCGACGAAGAGCCCCGTGAGCCACCGCGAGAACCTACACGCGCTCGGGAGGCGAACGGCCCCGACGAGGTAGAGCAGCCACCCCAAAAGAAGGGGGGGAGGGAGGAGCAGAGGAGTGGGGGGTACACGCGGCCCACACACACATTCAAATTGTGGCCCGAGGGCCCCCGTGCAGAAATGGGGGAGAAGAGCAAGCAACGGCGACAAAAGATCTCCCCTGACCATGGTGGCCGGCGATACGGAACACAAGCCTCAGGCGCAGCCGTACAAGCAGGAGAGGCAGGAGACCTGGAAGCGGCAGGCTGAGATACGTCTACTCCCTGAAGTATCGACTGTGAAGACTGCGCTTACCGATGTTGGATACTGTGTGATGGCGGTGATCAATGTGATCTTACTCCCGACAAGGGCCGTGTTCTGAAATGGTGGTGAGCTGTACGGTATTGCCTCTGAGCGGGGCGTGCTCTGGCTGAGTGGTTGTCAATACGTCAGCCCCTCGCAAGGCCTTGTCCTGGCGTGTGAGTCCGGTCAATGTTGGATGTACTGGCCTATCCGCGACTTTAGACTGGTGGTGGTTGTCAGCATGTTACTGCCCCTAGGCGGGGCATTTTCTGTAATGGTGATGATCTGTATCTCATTGCCCCTGAGCGGGGCTTCGTTCGGGCACGATAGTGGTCTACATGATATTCCCCTGAGCTGGGCCTTGTCCTGGGATGGAGCAGATCGGCATGTTCGTGACCCTGAACGGGGCTTTTTGCTGGAACGTTGCGCTTGCAAGTTTGAGATACTGTGTGATGGCGATCAACATGCTGTTGCCCCTGTGTCGGACTTTATGGAATGGTGCTGATCAGTGTGGTATTGCCCCCGAGCTGGCGCTGCCTTCCCCCTCCTCCCCTCGGCGCCTGGCTCTCGTTCGCCCCATGCCCCTCCGTAGGCCTCATACTTGGTGTTTGTCCCTGTACGTGCGCATGTCGCGGGCATTTCTGCCGCGCAGGCTGACTCTGCGAATTCCCACCGCCCGCCGGCCGGCTTTGCCCTTGTAGCCGGTACTTCTAGCGAGCCAGCGAGAGGGACACTTGCCAGTTCGCGCCCAGCCTTTGGGAACGTCTCGAGCGAGGCGCTCGTCTGGTGTCCCCGGCTCCTATCCTTTGGAAGCCCCGTGATCTCCGCGATGTAGCGGGTGCGTCCCTTGGGCGAACCAAGGAGGAGCCGCCAGGGAGAAGGACACCTGACCGCTCGCAGACAGGTTGGTGGGATGCCTCGAGCGAGGCGCTCGTTTGGGAGTCACCGGCTCCTCTGCATGGAGAGCCCCGTGGCCACCGCGACGTGGCAGACGTGGCGCCCGGGCACCCCAAGGAGGAGCCGCCAAGGGTGTTTAGACACGTGCCCATGCGCGGCCAACGCGTGGGGATGTTTCGAGCGAGGGCTCGTCTCGATCGCTCTGTCCTGAGGGCCTCGTGGTCACCGCGATGTGGCAGGCGTGGCACTCGGGCACCTCAGGGAGGACCCGCCAGGTGGGCAGATCGAGAGGATATCCTCAGCTAGGCGCATGCATTTGCACCTCCGACTCCTTTCGTCTCAGATCCCCATGACCACCGTGATGCAGCAAATATTCTGGGCACCATAAAGGCGAGCCCGCGAGGGTCTGTTAGATCAGCCCGATTGTGGGGGTGTCCATAGCGAAGCGATGGCTTAGGCACCCTCCGACTCCTTCCTTTGGAACGCTGAGTCGCCACAGACGAAGACTCTCTGACTCAGACGCTAGCAGAGGGAAGTGCCAGGAAATGATATCCACGTTTGGGGATCCCTGCGTCGAGTAATTAGTGTGGCGCCTCCGCCTACGCTCCTTACTGAAACGCCTCCCTCGCGCATCCATGCACGACTCTGTCTAGTCATACTCAGGTCCACAGGTACTGAGCAGAATCATGATCAGGCTTACCCACACTCAGTCACTCATACACCCGATCGCTCACACTCAGACTCACCCCGACTCGGGCACACTCAGAATCAAGCTCAGATCCACTCGCCCTCAGACTCTTTCACAACCAGACTCAAGCGCTCAGACCACTCACGGTCAGAAGCACCCACACTCAGCTTAGTCACAACTTACTTGACTTGTACCTACCCAACTCATATCATCCACACTCTGACCCG